CAGCTCGATCTTGAAAGAGATATGGTGATCAGGTGATCTGCTGCAATTACCCCACTGCAAGAAATAATATTTGACTACCTTTGAGTTACTAGAATATAGTTCAATCCACTGGAAATATTTGCCTCATCAGCAGGTTGTTGCCCTTGCCAAGGATATGCACCAGCACTAATCCTGCCCTACCTTACCCCCAGGCAGGCTGTCTTGGTTTTTGTTTTTCTTCAAACAACACATGCATGTCTGTCCTCTATGTATTTTATTAATCCTTCATTTTACCATTAATTAATCCGCATACATTTTAATCCAATTGCAAAAACAGTGTGGGTGGGTGTGTATGTGTATACTTTTGCGTGTACAGTATTTGGAGGGTGTAGGGCGGCTATACAGATAGTCCTCGACTTAATTCATTTAACAACTGTTCAAAGTTACAATGTTGCTGAAAAAAGTGACTTACGACCGCCGCAGCATCCCTGTGGTCACATGATCAAAATTCAGGCACTTGGCAACTGGCATGTATTTACAATGGTTGCAGGATCCCAGGGTCACATGATCGCCATTTGCGACCTTCCCATGGGGCTTCTGACAAGCAAAGTCAATTGGGGGAAGCTGGATTTGCTTAACCACATGATTTGCTTAACGACATGGTTATTCACTTAACGACTGTGGCATAAAAGGTTGTAAAATCAGGCGTGACTCACTTAACAACTGCATCACTTAGCGATGGAAGTTCTGGTCCCAAGTGTGGTCATAAGTCGAGGACTGCCTGTATAGGCTTATTCTGAGTTCAAGCCAATTTTTTTCTGAGCTCAGTCTTAAAGAGATACATCTGTGTTTAAAGGGTAGTGACAGAGCTGTCAAACTATTTTTAGCTTCCTTAAAACATAGTATCTGTCTTCACCATTCTAAAAAGTTCATTTTAGAACTATGATTCAAAGTGTGTATGCATTGATTTAATTGTGATTCCCCATGCACATATCCACCTTGTATGATTTTACATGCTATTGCTTTTCTTTTAGATGTACTGGCATCTGCTTTCTCTCTTGTCAGTCTAGTTCAGTGTTTCTTAACCTTGTCAGCTTGAAGTTGTGTGGACTTGGCTTGTTCAGCATGGCTTTCCGGGGAATTCTGGGAGTTGAAGTCCACACATCTTCAAGTTACCAAGGTTGAGAAACACTGCTCTAATTAATCCTAGACTGCCCTTTGAAAAATTCTAGGATGAAACCACTTCTAAGAAGAGAATGCGTATCCAAGCATTCCTCTGGCTTACAGCAGCCAGAAAGGCCAAGCTGCAGACTATGTGCCAGAGGTACACACTTGGTTATTCAAAGGCTTTGTCAGTGTAATGAGGTTCAGAGAAAAGACATCCTTCATATTAATGAGCATCCACAAGGTACAGTCATTTATTTAGTCATTATCAGTTATGAGGGAAATGTGAAAACAGCAACCATTTCTCACTCACTGCTTTTGTGGGCTGTGGCATTTGGAATACTTGTGTCATCAAATGGCTATTAGGAATGGCCCTGTGGTTTCTGGTAGGATCAGCTTTGGCAGCAGCTTTCAATTCACTAACACCATACTGGAAAGACAAGTTTTGCCATGTTGTGAAAGGAGGGAGAGCTTTTAAAGAATAGAAAGGTACAGTAAGAGCTTTATGAGTAATTGAGTTAATGCTGTCTGTATGGGTGTGTCAGGGCAGAATAAGAACTGATTATGAAAAGAGACATCTATACTCCTTCAGAGGTTAAAAAAAGGTGCCAGTGCAGTTGGGCACTTTTCCAACAATGTCATCAATGTCTATTCCGACAATAATCACAATCCATATTTGAATTACAACAAAGATAGTCAAGTGAAAAATATTAAAGCAGGCCTTTCCCCCTTGGTGCCCTCTAGATGCACTGGACTTCCAACTTCCATAATCCCAGCTAACTGGTCATTTCAATTTTAAGGGGCAAACATTCTGTTGCTTACTCTATATCTATTCACAACGTGCCCTATATTCTGTTCTACATGCCCTATATTCTTTCTCAATATCCAGAAGGTTCGCTCAATTATTTTTCATGAATAAAGCTCTTTAGTTTACATCTCTTTATGCATGAATTTGGGAGTAAGTTCTATTGAATGAACATGGCTAAGACTGCCCTTCTAATCTCTGAATCCAATCCTCCAGGGTGCACTTATGCAAAATCTGATGAACAGTACAGTAAAAACAGCTATCAAGCTTCAGAAGATGAGAGACAATCACACATCTTCCCCTCCACATTTTCAGAACAATGAAAACTGCAAAATACACAACTATTATTAAAAGAAATCTCTCTCATCTTTCCAGAAGAACAGAATGAAGCTTGTGGTTGGAAACATCTTCATTGCCATGCAAACATCTTATGCTAACATCTCTGTAGTCATCACAGACATCCCTGCCATGCACCAAACTAAGAATAAAGAGACATTTGTGTTAAAAATCTCAAAGAGAAAACAAAACTAAAATCAATATTATGGTTTCCATACTGAACTTGTCCAGTCTCATTCATGTTTAAGGGATCTAGGTGTCAATTTATTTGTTTACAATCCATTTCAAAACAACAAGAAATTCAGATGCTTAAAAATGACAAAGGCCTAGCACAAGCTTGTTACTAAGTTGTTTTGGGTATAGATAGGTACATGGATATAACTTTGGCATGTTGAGATTTACAGAAGGATCCTTGAAACATGTCTGGAAAACAAATACATAACGATATGTATTTGGTTGGTTAAACATTTTTCTGGCCATCCAGAGGCAGAGAGCAACATAGAAATGAAGAGACTCTGTCCCATGTGGGAGTCATCCTGCATTTTATTTACTGTTTTCAGGATCAAAAAGCTGTGGTTTTTGTTTGTTTGTTTGTTTGTTTAGTAGCTCTTAATTCAGAGTAGTGTTGAGAGGACAAAAATGCCAATATTTGTGATCATACGTAATGGCATCCAAAATAAATGAATATTCCTTACATACTATGGAACCATAGATTTCTAAAATACAAGCTGCTTCCAGAGACAAATTAACAAAGTAAGCATTTTTAATTTTTTGCTTCAACTTTCATCATATAAAAGACTCCTAGCCAAAACAAACTTGTGACTAGCTTATTCAAATTGTTGCCAAGGATACACTGTGTGTATGCTACTTACGACTTCAGAAATAATATAAGCAACTTTGGGGGTGGGTAGGAAATACTACCATCAACCCTAAGGTTGGCTTATATAAGGGAGGGACTTATCAGATTCTCCTCCTGATAACTGATGGGATTACTGGGCATTTAAAATAGGTATCAGAAGTGGTGTATCAAAGAATGGCAAGCACAGTGATCTGAAACTTCAGTGCAGAATGAATTTTAAGGATAGTTTTGACCTAAAATGATCCAGCACACTTTTATGCAACTACAGTAAAAATATGCAGAACCCAAAGCTACTGCAGCAACAAAAATGAGTTTGCAAAGCACACTGGACATTCAAATGAAACTTGATAAGCCTTTTTTTCCCAGCACACAAGAGGAATTATATGTTCTATCCTCCAACATTCTTGTGCCCTCATCTGCTGTCTGGGAAAATCAGCAACAATCCAGTGGCACCCAATCAATCCATCCTTTCCAGAACATCTTGCAGAATAAACTTTGAGTGCCTAATGGACTCAAATGGAATTTGTCCAGGCGGGAACCTGTATCCTAGAAATTAGAAAGTGCTAATCCAAACAAGATCACAAAGACTCTGTTGCTAAGTAGCCCACTGGCTCTACATTTCCCACAGTACCTGCACAGACCAGATTTATGACATCTTAGAGTTCTAATATAGTTAGGAAACAGGCTCAAATATAGAAGCTGTTGGTTGCTTCCCAAACATATTTTGGATGTGAGTGAGACAGCAAGAGATAAGGAAGGGAGCTGCCTTAAATAAGGGTTACTTTAGAATCCTCAGGATTTTCACTCCTTTTTCCAACAAATTTTTAAATATTTTAACACAGATGTTTTAAAGAAGCTAAGTTCATGGAAGTTAGTGATTCAGAGCAGTACATGAAAGAAACTATCACTTTCAAACAAACATGGACTTTTATCTAAATCAGTAAATATTAACCAGTCAAACACTCTTATTAGTTGTCTAGTTGAATGAAGAGGAAAAATAAACTATTACTAAGTCAACAAAACCACTGAAGTTTATGATGCTTTTCCTCTTTCACAAATACTACCCCAAACTGATAGCTGTTTTCCACACCCATCCCATGTTTTCTAGAACCTGTGCTCATTTATCACAGCCAAGGATGCAAAAGAAAAGAGAAATTATGCAAGTCAACAAGTGTTCAAATTCACAATTCACATTTTCACAAATGTGAAAAACTGATGGCAAAGTAATCTAAACTTTTAGTAATCTAAATTTGTAGTAATCTAAACTTTCAATGTCATGGATAAACTGAGACCAGGACTGTCATAGAAACAAGATTTTGTCAAGAATCCTGACATAATGTAACCCCGAAGCACAGGATTTTTGCTAAAGTCAGTGTATGGGTCTTTGTGGTGAATTTTTAAACTTTTAAAAATATAAATTTTAAATATTTGTTTATGTAGTAATGCATAGAATACAATCTGCATAACCACTGGCAGCAAATTTCAGTTTCAGTTTCCTCAAAGGCCAGTTTCTCCATCTTAATGACTTCATTTTACTAGTATATGCCAAAAGAATAAAACAAGTACTTATTCTTATACAGAAACAAATTCATATTTCATTTAACAGTGTTCCTTTTAACTAACTGCATGACTAAAAGATTGCTTATTATTGTGATAAATATCAAGACAAGAAGCAACTTGCAACAATTAACAAGCCAGAGGCCTACCTTTAATATATTACCCATACAAAAAAAAGAGAGTGAGAAAGAGAAAGAAAGAGTTATGGGGGAAAAAAGCACTGAGAATAGCAAAATACTCCCTGCAATGCTGGATATAGTCTATAGATTACCCAAACTTGCCTGGCTAAGCAATGCATACCTTTTAATCTCTTGGAATGGTTGTTCTTTTGATGCTCGTCCTCCTCATTAATGGTAAACAGAACAGGTGTATTTGGCCTCACGCCTGGCTTCTTTAGCCGCTCTTGCCGGAGAGCAGCTGCTGAACCTGGCATTATTGCCAGTCTCTTTTTTCCTACAATATGTCAATTCCAGCTAGCTGCAAAGCAGTTTATTCATTTGTAACAGATCCTGTGAGGGCTGGGCAGAATGCAAACAGCTGAGAGACACCAACATGCACTTGGCAGATGAGAGCCTACAATCTCTTTTACTTTGGCAAAAAAAAAAAAAAGGCTTAATTAAGGGCCCACTGGGCAGAATGCAAACAGCTGAGAGACACCAACATGCACTTGGCAGATGAGAGCCTACAATCTCTTTTACTTTGGCAAAAAAAAAAAAAAGGCTTAATTAAGGGCCCATCCGCTTGAATACCTCCTCCTCCTCCTCCTCCTTGTTGTCCTCGTCGTCCTCCTTTCAGAGCCTTAACTTGTTCAGTCAGATCCCATGTCTTCTTTCCTTCTTGATGCAGCACCTTTTCCCTCCTAGTATCTTCTTTCCAGCCTCTGCTTACTGAAATATTCAGCACACAGCCCAAGAGAAGAAAATATGATACGCCACCGTTAACAGTTGCCCTGACAACAGTGACATATCCAAATCAAAAGGAGGTCCATGAATGTCGTCTCCTCAGCTGCGGGAAAGCAGGCTGCCGGAATGTCCTCTCTGTGTTCTGGCTGCCAAGGCAAAGGCAAGCTGGCCTGAACAGCTGAAACCACCTAGCAGGCTGGGCTACCCTCAGAGACGGGCGGAGGACGGCTGGAGCTCTTGCCGCACCGCACCGGCTGAGAAGTTCAAAGAAAGGGAAGCCAGCAAGCCTCCAAGGAGGTAGGTGAATTTTATTCCAGCTTCTCCCTCCAATCAGTCCCCAATCAACAGTACCAAAGCAAAAACACCCAAGGCTTTTTCCTTTTCTTCTGAAGTTCACAGAGTCACAGACAGCTCACCTTATGCAGTTCAAACATACCTTCTTCACAGAAGATAGATGCATTAAGTAAAAGGCAGAAATTGCACAGTGATATTTGGGTGTCTCCTTGTTAAAAGGAAGAGAATTACAAAGCGGAGAATTCACCCCTTGCATGAAACATGGGCACTTTATACTGGGAAATATTAACCAATACAGCACAAAGGTTGATCCTGACAACAGCAGCAATTAATGTAGGTAGGAAAAAGTGCCACTGATGTCTTCTGGAAGGTGAGCTGTGATATAAAAACACCCTCTGCAGTTTATAATAATATCCTTAACCTTTTAAAAGTATTTTTTTTACTTATTAAATAAACTTGCATTTGAAGTTTGGATTTTGTTTGCTTAAAAGTTTTTTTACTTTGCATTTTCATTATTGATTCCAAATGAAAATATTTTAAAAATATAATAAAACTTTACTGTAAAATAATAATCTAATTTAAAAAACTAAGCAGAAAAAAGTATTTGGATTGAGCGTGACTCCTTGTGATTTCATAGGATGTAGTTTTATTGGCAAAATATTTTTTTAAAAAAATGGGAGAAAGATCATTCAGATAATTGCTTGAATAGAAAAGACTAAGAGTTCCATAAGGGAGGTGTGATCAGCTGAGGCTCTGGTTCTCATCCAGTGTCCTTTACGGAAGGGTGGGCTCCACAAAACAGCTTTTTTATGTTAAAAAAACCAAAAAATAAAAAACTTGGGCTTGAAATGAATTGACAGCCAGTCAAGTTATTTATGATTATAAACTGTAAGAATAAGAATAGATTTTTTTAATTAAAAAAATTGGGTGATATGCCAAGTATTAAAAAATGACTAAAATTACCTTGTTTTTTTCTGCCAGTTTTCATTCAATCTGATGAAAGAGAATTTGCTTTAAAAATTCTTTCAGTGGAGAAGAGAATTTCAGATAATTTCTCATGGATGGAATGTGGTGGTGTGGCATCTAGTTACAAGGTGACCAAGGGAGATATGTGGATGTCCTTTCTTTAAACAATCATCTCACTAATGGGGTGTGGTAGGGATATGCAGTCATTTGGATCTGAAACAGAAAGGAAGCCTACACTTGCCCACATTTGAGTTAAGGAGATGCTGACAGGGTGCAACAGGGTTGTCACACCCAATCACCACCTCTACATTAAGTCAAATGTGTATTTTCCTGGGACTATGCAGCTACTACACCAAGCCCAGAAAAAGGAGTGGCTTCTTTAAGGAGACACTAATAGTGCAGTAACTGTGTTCATTCCTCCTCCAAACCACTTTTTCCTCTCTCTGCATGATGTAGAAGTCATCTCATCCCCTTCCTACCCAATTACTCTTCTGCCCTTTTCCACTGTGGTCACTTTAGGTACCTATTTGGGATATGTGTTACCTAGTTCATTAAATAAGTATATATGGATAACTACGCCCTGCAAAAGCTTCCTATTGTCTTAAGCTGTGTTCACATGCAGCACTGACCTATGGTTTGCTTAACCACAGCATGATGAAAACACTGTTGGATTGATCCAACAACATACTAAACATATTAAAAATAAAGGTTTATACATCATAATGGTTGAGTTCATATTTACTCAAACTAAACAATATGTAGCATGACATGTGAACCCAAACTTATTATGAGATGGAAGCAATTAGCATGCACTACAGATATGAAAGATATCCAATAGCACTTGGTGCTTTTTGAAAAGACTGTGATTAGTCAAAAGTGAAAGGAAGTCAGAACCCCCATTAAATAGCATTAACCCTTACAGCTTTTGATTAATATGGAACTTCCAAGATTTAAAAAAAAAACCTGCAAAAAGAAAACATGTTTGAGCTATCTCTAGGGAAGGAACTTATAGATGACTGCCACATTCTGATTTGTACTTTTAATACAAGAAAATGCAGTCACTTCTTGCTAAGCAAAGGGAATTGTCTCTTATTTGCTTTGGACTGAGTGAATTGACAGTTAGAGGTACATACAGCAGACTGGCTGGCTTATCTTCTCCATTGTGGCAACCTAACAAAACAACTTTGTTCCATATCCAGAGCTAAGGCATTTGCAATAATTTTATCACCAGACAAGCAAGATGTTTCTCAGCACATCAGAAACATTTCTATTTTACAGTCTATGCAATTGAAACAAATCTTTAAAAAGGTACATGGCAGAATTTCAAAATAATAGCAATTGAAAAGTGAAAAAGAAAAAAAAAGTGTGACAATGATATTTTAAATCAGACTCAGTTGATAAAATATTTTTATGTTTCTTAAATTCATATTTCAAAATTCTTGAACCTCTTGTACAAGACTTTTTTTGAGGAGATGGTTGGTCATTTTAAGTTATGTGTGTGCGTTCAAACTGGGTAAGAAAGATGTAACAACATTTTGAATAATCCATACTTAACATATATCACCTATAAATGACATATATTAACTTGTTTCTGGCTCGGTGCAGGATGCTGCTTGAGCCATGTGACAATTAGAATGACTGTGAAAGAGATCCCAATGCAAGTTATGCAGAAAAAGAGGTGGAGGTAAATAGATTTGTAACTGATGACACCACCAGAAAGCAGGCCCTAGTCTCCATAGCAAACATTCCCTCTTGGCGTACCTGGAAATTACAAATCCACTCTCCCTTCCTTTACCAACAGTCCCATCATTACAGCAAGCATGCAATAATAAAAAAAATACAACAGATGGGATGACAAAATCCAAAGGGATTAGGCTAGATCAGGAAATATTCATAGAATCCACATGGCTTAAATCTCAAAAATAGAAGTAGCAAATCCACAAACAACAAAGCTAGCTCTGCTGTATGTCCATTTTTGTTTAAGTTCCAAACTTCTAGGAATTCTGGAAAGAATTCTCATCTGGCTCCAGTTTCAAATTTGGACATAAAGCACTATATATATATA